TTTCTGGGATATTAGTTTTTAAAACTTTTTTTTACTTGTATCTGCTAGTCAGGCTTTTGCTAGTCTACAGTTCAAACAATTAAAAATAGTCCCTTCTGCACTGTTGGGCTTCCTTTGTTGTGCAGTGATATCTTCATAACGAAAAAAAAAACCCAAACCAACCTACTTGTTCCTTTTGACCTGCAATAACAAAAACTGGCAGGTCATACAACTGCATCTTAGTAGTTACTGTTCAACTATCTGCAGGGTTTGTGATCTGGCTCTTAGTCCAGGTCAAGTAACTGGTAAAACACTACATTTCTAGTGGGTTTTTTTCTGTCACAGGAAGAAAGTGCTGCTGGGGCTGTTAGCACACCTAATTAATATGTAGCAACCTGATGACATGTCTGAGTCCAGGATGACCTTAATTATCAACAGAAATGTTATCAAGTTTAAATGCTTCTGTCAGCTTACTAATGGTGATGGGGATGAACAGCTGACAAGTTTGTGCCCAGTGAAGTCCTTATCTTTTAATGTTACTGGCTACGTGACAGATGGAAGAAGATTGCATTTGACTTTCAGACCAGGTTGTTTTCAGGATTAACAGAAAAATTATGCTTCTTAATATAAGATAACTTACTATAGAAATACTTGGTAATAAATCACTATGCAAAAATTCCTTAAGTATTTTTATACTGACTTTCTCATTGGGAAGTTCTGTGGAACTTGTAGGTGCTTCAGGTTTGTTCATTTGGGGGACGAAAGCAGGGAAGTAGTGTAGCTTTCCCTCCAAAATTACTGCTGAAAAATAGCTTTCTGGTTGTGCAATATTAGATTGTCCAACAAAATTATATTTCTTTCCCCGTTTCAGGTTTTAATCCATTAAATGGAGAAATCCTGCTTTCAGAAGATAGGCATATCACTTGCTGCACAACTGGAAGTACATTACCAACAGCAGAGGAACATAATTCACTTGCTGATTCAGGAGTTAGCATCGCTGCTGAAAATTCAGGTACCTTCTCCCAGACTGTGGAAATGAGGATAGAGTATTCCCAGCCTGTGAACATACAGGGACCAGATATGGCAGGTGACGCATCCCTGGTGCACACTGAGGTCGTGCTGCCTGCTGAAGCAGATGGTTCACCAGAGCTGGTTCAAGGGCACTTTGTGAGCGAGAATGTGGTGAGTGGACTGGCAGCTCTGGAACTTTGCAGCTCCGTGTCGGAGCACACAGTGGGCAGTCAGAGCACTGACTTACCACCGAGTCAGGAAAATAGCCACAATCAAAAATATCAGGAACTGCAAGAAGAAAACCCTAATTTTGCAATTAAAGGACATTCTGAGCAACTTCGTAATGCTGGTATGACTGACGAGATGCAGGAAGTTGAAAAGGTGTTTTCAGCAAACGTTGTGCCAATAAACTACCCACACAGTGCTCAGGCTGAGTCGCACCCAAGCGCTGTCCAGGGAGCCTCCCTGTCTGCTCATGTGAACCATGACAACGCTCTTAAAAACCAGAGTGACTATTCTTGCGGGACAGAGGAAGCGCATGAGCTGGCAAATACAGTCACTGTAGATGAAACTGTAGCTTTTGAGATTTCCGATGAGAGCCATGATTTTTTGTCTCAGGGACACGAACAGATTTTTATTCAGACTTCAGATGGGCTTATCCTGTCTCATCCAGACACTGCTGTTCTGTCTCGGGCAGAGGGCATCGTTATTGTAACCGACTCCAGCGGTACCACAATGCACATTCGCACACCTGAGGGGATACCTTTGGAAACTGTGGAAGCACTACTGGCAATGGAAGCAGGTGGCCAAAGTGAAGATATTTTGCTCTCGCAAAGTGAATTGGAGCCATAAATTAGAAAAAACCCTATAAGCTTTCTTCTGGAAAAGACTGATTATAAAATGTATATTTTTCTAATGTGAATACTGAGATAATTGAAATTTAACTTATTTGTAAACTGTTTCTATGCCCTGTACTTTTTATAACTTATGTTTATATAAATCTAGCAGCATTGCAACCAAAAATTCTAGAATTAACATTGTTCTATTTGCTTTATATGTTGGGGATGGGTGGAAAGTAGAAATCTGTCAACCCTAAAATTGTTGCACTGTTCCCTTTTGTTACCTAATTCCTCCTCTCTCTAGCCATCTAAAAATGCAGTAAGTTGTACTGCTGTTCAGCAGTGATGTGCTGTGTACTGGCAAGCTGTATATGGGTAAAATAAAAGCTATATTCAAGATGTGCATTTTCTGTGCCACTGAGATTACAAAACACTTTTTGGTATTGCAGTTTTTCGAAGCATGAATATTCATTAGCATCTACACTTGATGCACTGAAATCTGCCTGGGAAAATGGGCAGTTTTAAGTATAATCCACAGTTGGGTATTCCAGGAACAGTGTGACAGCCTAGCTGATCCTTACTGAAAATAACCATTCACAGAGTTAGGGACAAAAATAGCCTCAAACAAGATCCGATTTGTACTGAACTGCTGGAAATGTATTTAAGTTTTGTGTAATGTTCATCCACACCTTTAAAAATTGCTGTTACTTAGACCTAAATGGGGAGGTGCATAAGTAGTGATCTGATTTTCCTTAACGAGGTACCACATTATTTTTTGCTTTAGTCCATAATGGCCTATTTTTGTAAGACTGGTATTACACTTTTTCCCTTTCAGATGATGTCTCCTTTATCAGTTCTACACTTTGACCTTCCTAGTAACTTCACACTGCCTTGCACTGTTTAATCATAATACAAAGGTATCCTTGACTATAATCCCTGTTTCTCCAGGCAGGGAGAAAACTTGGCAAAATTACTTAGCAACAGTCTATCTTGTATTTTTGTCATACTTTCAATACAATCCTTAGATAATATATTTTTGTGGAGACCTCCCAGCAGCTTCTTGTCCAAGGCACTGTCTTGTCTTCCAAGAAGCTTAACAGGTGAAAAAGAACAGTGTTGAATGAGTAGACATTACTGTGAATTGGTAACATATCCTTAAAATGTGTGTGTCACCTCATTACTAAAGAAATGAGGCTACTGAGATAACTGGACGAATCCACTAAAGACCTTGATCTGCAGGAGAGCTGTTTTGTTGATAAATCAAGTATGAACACTGATTTTTTTTTTCATGGTATTGTTAGGGAAGAAAAACTCTAACAATTGAATCTAAACAGGAGAGAGGACAATTTAGAGGTGAAATAATCTGCTCTATGTCCCTTTAACATAAGTTGGGGTTTGGTTTTACTTGTTTGGTTGAGTTTTTTCTCAGTTGCCTAAGTAGAAGATGAATTTAATTAGTCAAAGCACTGCCGTTTATGTGTGGTTGTGAAAGATCCTTTGTATTAATGAGCTCCTGTCTGGTGGTTGGGTTTATGGTGTAGTACTTGATTTGGGGGTTTTCCCCCTCTGTTTTTTTAGGAGGTGGTAATGGCCAGAGGATATAGACCTACCCTGTAAGTGAAGGTAGCATATGAAGCAAGATTCTGCTGGTCTTTCAGTCTTTGATTGAAGGGAGCAATTCTTTATTACACTCCTTTGTACTGGCTGTCTAATCACTGCATCCGAGGGCTTCAAATATAACAATCAACTGCTTAGAGCTACAATCACAAAACATCTCTGCAATGACTTTGCAGTAATCTTCCCATGTCTGACAGCAATCAATAAGCAAGGGGGGCTGTAAATATGAGGACCCCTTCCTGAAGAGCTTATTTCCTCTAAGAAACGAGCAAACCACAATTTCCACCTGTGCAGAAAATGAAAATTTGCTTCAGTCCTGTCTTCCCTATTGCTTTGCACATGCTGGGAAATACAATACACCTACTCTCATCTTAAAAGAACAATTCTATATGTGAACTAATCTTTTCTACTTGGAAAATATTTTTGAAGTATGAAGTTGTTTCCATAGTGACACGGGTCTGGCCCTACTCAGATAAATTAAGGTGGCTGTTAAACTAGGTGGAACACTTGCACTGAAAAATAATAAAACCCAACAAAGCTGTTCCTAACTAATTGTATTCTCCTTGAGCTACAGCAGAATTGCTTTTTAGACGCTAGAAATTTGGGCTAAGAATAGAACTCTATTAGCTGTCAGAAACAACCTCGTTCAACACAGAACAAATCAACAAAACTTTCCCAGTTCATGTCTGTCTTTTCTGTTACTGCAGCAAACTTATCAAGCTTATGAGGTTTCAGCTTGGAGCCAGTTAAGTAAGTGATCCTGCTTTTCCTGTCAGTACAGAGAGGCAAATGAAAATCACTTGATATCAGTAGCAGTAATCCAAGGAAAAACTCACAGAGCCCTACGAGAGGGAGGAAACAACATAGGATACGGCCCTGACTGAAGGAGATCTTGTTTTTATTGAACAGATGCTTTCATGAAACATCTCTAAGAGAAAAAAGTTAAAATTAATTAGGAGACAAAACATTTTTACATGACTGGAATGCTGAGTTGTACTAAACATTCCCAGCATGGTAGTTCAGGTTTGGATCACTCTTGAAGGGTGATGCACCTAACACCACCAGACTCAAAACCAAACCAGAATTTACACTCTTCTCTACAACTGCATTTCAGTACCACATAACCAAACTATGTGGATCCTTTTGGATCCTCCCTTTTCTGCTTTCCTCTTCTCCACTTACAAAGCCAGTACAAAAGCACCTGTCCTGTTAAATCATGCACAAAAACCCCATGAAAGATCATGAAGTGCTGAAATTCTATGGCCAAAGGGACTGTGTAGGTATTTAAGACTGTCAGGACTTGGAAAGAAGTAACATTCTTTGCTGTAGCTGTCTATGTGCATTGAATTCCCTCAAGACCACCAGGTAGTGTTTACCTCTTCCTGATTATAGGGGACTCAGCCTCCTACCTGTATACTCTCTACTGCTCTTAAAACAGATAAAGCAACCAAAACCAGATTGTCCCATGCAGAAACAGGAGTATCAGCTAAGACAAAACAATAAATACAAACAGAGATAATTTTTTTTAATATGTTTTACAAAAATTCAACTTACTTGGTAAGCCTTGCAATTTGCCATTTCATGTAAGCATCATTAGAAGCCAGCCACGTAACCTTTGGAATTCTAGCACTTTCTGTGTCCTGTCTCCAGCAGCATGGCTTCGAGTAGCAGTGTGCTGCTGTTCTCAATGTAAGGCTGGTATAACCATGATGATAAATACACCATCATCAGATCCTGGTCAGCAGAATGAGCAATGTCTTGTACAATTGCTTGCTTGAGTTGTAGTTCCTTCTTGTACATTTCAGAGAGCTTCAGGGAGACCTCATCTGAAATGGATTAAAAAAAACCAAACAAGCACATTGACCAGAATATATCAGCAATTCTCCACAAGTTAAATTATACTTGAAATATGTGGATCGTTAAAAAAATCCACCTACCATATATAAACTATTGCCCAAATACAGACACCTTGTTTTTTAGAGCATTAATCATGTTTTTACACTAGAATATCAAATGCTAAACAATTTCCTCAGCTTTGGGATATATTTTACACACATCCGATTTTTACATGAGTCCCCATTTAATTCTAGAATAAGCAGTGGTATTGGTTCTCAGGACCCACCATAAAATTAGCAACTAGAATCCATAATTATCAATTACAGCTATTCCTCAAATAATTTGATTTTAAAATCTGGTAATGCTATCCTGCAATCCAAGCTTCACATGTCAGAGTCCCTGTTGATTTCAGCTAAACTGAAGAATGCCCCCCACATGCTGTCAGGCACTTCAGCAATGCATCATCACCAAGGAGTGATATCAGTGATGAAAAACAACAGCAAAAAACCCAACAGACCAAAACTGAAGGAATGTAAAAACTAATGCTGCTACTAGCTATGTTAGTAATACTGACAGGGTGGTTAAAAAGCAACTGTAAAATAATCTTTAATTGTCTGACTTCCTGAAAAATAACCATACAAACTATTTTTAAAGAGAGACTGATCCTGTGTTTCTAACTTAGCCTAAACTATCACTGCCTTCAGGATTTAGTCTTTCATGGAGTAGACTAAATGATTCAGTCACAATGGGTGTTTTGATAGCAGTTGTCTTTGTCATTCTTACCCTTTTAAGCTGGCAGAAGCTAATACATAAGATTCCTGCTAAATTGTGTTAGTGAAGAAGCAGGGCTTCACATGACTTTCACTTCACAAAGAAGGCACTGGGTTTGCACAGAATCAGGCAATCTTAATCAGGCAGTCTTGAATTCAGACAGTCTTAAAACTGGGGTAATACCAGTTGGGAGGCAGTACCTTTTACCATCAAGTGAATGCTAAAAGAATTAACAGTAGACAGTAACATTTCTTTACTTGTCTTGACTGACACTGAGATCAAGAGCTATTTTTCTTGGGCTGCCTGCAGAATTAACTGAGGTACAGCTTGCTCTTTGCATTCAAGGATTTAATTTCAGTGCCAAGCAGTTAAGCCTACAGCTTAACACCACCAAGTTGCACATAAGTCTCTCCCTTCAGAGGACGTGGCTGTTGCAGCTTGGCCACTGTAAGCTGCTGACAGGCTTAGTTCTGCGCTGTAATTGCTGCATGTCAGACAATGCCTGGCACTTCACACAAGCGGTGATCAGCAGTAACCCTAAGCCGAGCGGTGCATTCATGCCTTTATTGATCAGTCAGTTGTAAAGGAGACACACACCCTCTCTCAGGCAAGACATCCAGATAAAAGGGTTTACTTTTCAGTCTTAAATTAGATGACATCAAAGACACAATGTAACTAGCTAAGATAATCAATATTTTACTTACAGAAGTATGGTGTGGGCCATGTATGAAAGAAGGGTGCTGTGCAATTCCCAGCTCCATGGCGGAATGCTTCCAAGTCACAGATTGCTTTAGTAGTTGAAGTAAGCTTTTCCATTTTCAGTTGTATTTTTGTCTGAAAAAACAATGAATGCGTAATATTAATGAACATCTCAGAACATTAGGTGACTATAATCTCAAGATTTTTTAAAAACACACTATTTATGAGGCCTATTGAGTCTTGACATTTCTAAATCACATTTTATAAACTCCAGACAGACATGACAGCTGGAATCTATATATTTAATGTGAGATATCCTGAAATTTTGAACACTGCAGATATGACTGATTTTGCACATTCTTTTGTTTCCCTCATGTAGAAGTATACTAAAGCCCTCTTGTCATTTTTCCCCTCTCTCTAGGTTTTTCCTATAGCAATTTAGCACGGGGAAAAACATCAAACAAGTGTAGCACAAGCCCTATCAACACATGTTTTCCTACATCACCATGTAAAAATGTCTTACATTTGATTTCAAAAGATCAGCAGCAGGTGAGAAAAGCAGCTCAAGCTACTACTGACAATGTATCTAGGCTGATCTAACAGCTTGCTTCAAAAAACAGGTCATTCCATCCACTTGCTCCACGTTCACCTGACTTTGTGCATTGCCGATGGGGATGAATATTTACAACAAAATGGAGCTTGCAGGCAGTATCTTTAAGTCCAGCAGCTAAAACAGAGATATCTCTATAAACTCATAAGCTGGTATAATGGAATGAAAAATAAAATAGGTCATTGTAGCTATGTTTAGTATCCAATCTAACACTGCTTAGACTTGTATTACTCAGGAATAATAAAAAATTGAATCAACACACTTGGTAGTCTGAATACAAAACTACCTCAAGGGAAAAAGAACCCAATGAAAAAATGCAGAAATTACTGTTACTTTTTCCCCCAGAACAAAATTTGAGGTACATCTATCTCTTTTACTGTTTTTTCTAAATACTAGACGACTGGTATCTTGCCTATGTAAAGAAGTAGATCTACCATCTCTGTAATGGGCCTCCACTTTGGCAGAAAGCTGTAAAAGTTATTTTTAATATGAATTTTAAATCACAGTTTCAGGCAGAAAAATACTGTTTGCTTCTTGTCAAACTGACAGGTGACATTAATTTCAAGCAGTGTATCCGGAAAAAAAAGGTTACATAATAATTATCTTACTCCACTCTCTAGAGAAGGAGATCTGCACAGCAAATGCAGGTAGGCAGACTAAAAATATAACTGCATTATGTCTGATCAAAGACAGCTGCAAGGATATGATGGCAGGTAAAGCACTGCTTTATGCTTTGTTGTTTCTTTGTTCTAAACAGAAGGAATATCCAGGATGAGAGAATAGGTGCAGTTTTAGAATGCATTCTTTGTACAACTTATTTCCAGATCACTTTATAAAGGGAGGAGTAGAGTTAGAAACAGAAGGCAGATGTAAAACCAACTTTCAAATTTACCAATCAAGCAAATAAACGGTGCATACCGAATTTATAATCATTTAGGTTTGAAGCCAAAGAACTATGAATGAAACCTCCAATTTTCTCTCTACAGTAAATACCTGAGGACATTTCCTTATGTCATACTTGAGCACACTTGGAATTGATTCATATTGACTAAGACTGGAAAACGTGCATTACCATCTGCTTTAAGGTCTCAAGTAATTCTGCACAGCAGCTGTCCAGTTCTTCGTTGTATTTTGGGGCTGGCTTTTCAGGTTCTGTGACACTGTTACCACATGCTATCTCCAGTTTTCTGTCTTGAAATCTAAAACAGAAACATAAGGCAGAGTAAACAACTGCGCATAGGTTTACTTCAGCTGTGCAGATTTAAAATCCACGTGGTCTGATGCTACAAAATCTCTCTCGCAGACTGTTCGTGACAAGGTATAGCTGGCCATGAGAACAAATAGGGATGACACCATAACCACCAAGAGAAACATGGAACGACTCTATCTCAGAGCATGTGCTTGACTAAGGTGCAGTTGCAGCTGTTAAGATAACACTTTTTCCCTCTGTCCCTGTGTTGGAGTTGTTCTCCCATAATGGAAAAGGCTTGCCCAGGCTTCATCTGCTCTGGATGACAACCTGGTGCCTCACCACAAACTCATAGATGTGCACAATTTAAGCCAAGACATTTAGCTGTGAACCCAGAGCAGCCAATGTACAGACACCTACCCTGCCTGGCAGACTTTAGAGGGAGCTGCTAGAGAGCAAAAGCAACATCTGGCACCATTACAGCAAAATACTCTTCAGCTTGTACCTGTCAGAACCCTGTCAGGCAAACCCTCTTCAGCTGTCAGGACTCTGAAGAAGCTTCTTCTCACAACCCTCTTAATTAGGTTTTTCTTCACAGCATCAAAATAATAGGTCTACCAAAATGGGGTGGGTCTTTTTCAGATTTTCACGGGGGTTTTTTGTTGATTTGTTGGTTTTTAGTTTGGGGGTTTATGTATGGTGGTGGTGTGGGTTTTTTTGTCTGTTGGGTTTTTTTAAGTCATTACTGTTAACATTTTTTTGTCTGTACAAATCACTGATTCTTTCTTCAAATCTTGACTTGAGTGAAAGTTGTGTAAAATATGTAAGAGAGTAAGGGAACTCATATGGGCTGAGATTTATAGATTTTAACTTTGTGGATTATATAAGTATTTTAAATATCTGTTATGTTTGACTACGTAAAAGAAATGTTTTCCATTTCTTGCAAATGACATTACTTCAAGAGATTACTTTAATCTTTATGAGACATTTATTATTTGAATGTAAATAGTTTATGTAACCAGAAAGTGCAGCTGCTGAGTTTGATCTAAGACCTAACTTATCCACTGTGGCATGTTTTCTCCCATCTCCAAAAAGAACTTTTTAGTGAAGAAAACAGATTAATCTCACAATAAAGGCAATCTTTATGCTGTCTTTATTCATGTGTATTAGCATACTTACTGCTCACTGATCTTCATGTTGACTATTTTGTTTGCGGTAGTAAATCCATTATCATTCAGTCTCTCCCATTTCATCATTAAATTATGCCAGTCTGCTGCATTATCTTTAATTTTTCTTGCACTGACAGACAAAACAGGCCTTCTTGGAGTACTATCAGCAGGACTTTTTGCTGTATGAGAAAATAAAGATATTGAAGCCATTTAAAGCATACAGAAATAAATCAAGTGTCCATCAGCAGTTCGTGTGAATGATTTCCGTGCTCTACTGGAGAATATTGATTAAAGTAAAATGGAATTTACATTAACTGTCTCTGGTCACGGAATCTAATTCCTCATCTATCAGCCTTATTACTATTTATAAGAAAACGGGGTTATTAAAAGAACACAAGCACATTCTGAGATGTGCTACTGCAGCACAGACAGCAGGAGCTTTGCAGTGCTGACTAATCTAGCAGCCTTCTGACAGTCAAATGACAGTCAAATACTAATGCAGTATAGGAAATCACGGCAACAACTACTGCTTGCATCCCATGCTCATGCCATGAAGGTCTGAATTAATTCACAGCAACACGTGAGCTGGAAGAGTTTGGGGGAAGGCTGAGTCCCACTGCAGACAGTGGGCGCTTTGCTGCTTGAGCACAAACCCCACGTCTCACAGCGTCTCTCCCTGGAGGCCCAGAGAGCAACAGGAACCTGCAGCACATCCCTCTGAGCACACGAAGCAGCCCCACCTTCACACCTCAGGCCCTGCCCCAGCAGCCAAAACAGGGCCCTAAGCCAAGCAGTAACACCCGGCCTGCTCTTTTGCTAGCTTTAACTTTTATCCACAGAGACGCCCAAAAAGTGGTCACAGATGTGAAGGCCACACATAATCACAGAAAGGGTCAGGTTGGAAGGGACCACAGTGGGGCATCTGGTCCCACCTCCCTGCTCAAGCAGGGTCATCCCAGAGCACAGGGCACAGGATTGCGTCCAGATGGTTCTCGGATATCTCCAGTGACGGAGACTCCACACCCTCTGTGGTCAACCTGTCCCAGTGCTCGGTCACTGCACAGTAAAGTTCTTCCACATATTAAGATGGAGCTTCTTGTGAATCAGTCTCTGCCCGCTGCGACTTGTGCTATTGCTCGGCACCACCGAGCAAAGCGCGGCTCCATCCTCTTGGCACCCCCCCTTTAGATATTTATACACACTGATGAGGTAACACACATGGTGCGACACGCGTGTCCTCCCCCTCGTGACAGCGACAGCCCAGCTGGCTGGCGGGGCACCCCGGGCACATTAAACCTCGCTAGTTCACCGAGGAACCACCAGGACCCGCCTCTGGCTGCTCCCCCCCTCTCCTCCCTCCCGTTCCCTCCCGCACTCACCCGCCATGGCGGCCCCGCCGCCCGCGGAAGTTCGCTCACGTCCGGCCCCGCCCAGCCCGGCCCCGCCGAGCGGCGCAGCCACCGGGGCCGCCGCCGCTCCGCCGCCTCGGGGCCCGGGCAGCGCCGCTCCCGCCGCCCCTCCGCGACGGGCCGCGCTCCGCAGCGGTGAGTGCGGCCGAGCCGGGCGGGACCGCCGGGGGGGCTGCCGGGCTCTCGCTGCCCTCCCCGGGCGCCGCCAGCGGGGCCTGCCGCGGCCGCCTGTTGCGGGCGGTGCTCCGGGCCGGCCCCCGGGGCTCGGGCAGCGCCGGGTGAGGGGGCTCGGGGCGGGGGCTCGGCGGCTGTGCCCGCTGCTGGAGGGGCTGCGCCGCCCGCCTTTTCCCGGAGCGCTGGGTCTGGGCGGTAAATCCGGCATAAGCCGAGGTAAAGCCGGCGGGAAGGCGAGGCGGCCCCGCGGGTGTCCGGCCGGGAGCCCCCGGCTCTGTCCCTGTCCCCTGGCAGGAGCTGCGGCCCCGCACGGGGCGGGGAAGCACCTGTTGGGAAAGGAGTGGTTTGGAACATCTGTCGGAATATAGTCGTGCGTCTAAGGAAGGGAGGTTAAGACAAGGTGTAATAATGGCTTCAAACTGAAAAGAGGGCAGGCTATATGTGCCTGGTATGTAATAGATACTAGGTATATCCATGGTATATAATAGATTTTAGGTATATCCATGGTATTAAGAAGATAGATATATGTGTGATATTAGGAAGAAATTCTTTACTGTGAGGGTGGAATGGATTGCCCAGAGGAGCTGTGGATGTCCCATCCCTGGAAGTGTTCAAGGCCAGCTTGGATGGGGCTTTGAGCAACCTGGTCCCGGTGGAACATGTCCCTGTCCATGGCAGGGGCGTTGGAACTGGATGATCTCTCAAGGTCCCTTCCAACCCAAACCATTCCAGGATTCTGTGAAGGATTCCTGGGGAAGCTGGGTGTCACAAGATCATCAGAATGAGTACAGCCAGGCTTCCCTGGCACCTCTGGCCATACTATGATGCACAATGACCCCGAGTTCTACGTTTTCTATCCTTTCTATCTCTTTCATCTATGTTTGTTTATTGGTTTTACAGTCTATTTTTTGTTATTTCAAAGAGAAAATAAACCTCATTTGAGCCAAAAATTCACAAGTTGTATAAAGCAACGTGTGTGTTAATCAGGTAACCGTGACCTGTGTGCTGCTGGTCATTTGCCTGAGCACAGGACACAAGAAATCAGAGCTCCTTCAGTGGGGTGTGCATCTGCCCTCTACTTGGCAGCAGTTTGCTGTAAAAAACTCTGGTGATATGGCACTCAGGTACCCTGCTCTGGGGCTAAAAGTGTGTGCAGTATTAGAAAAAAAAAGAAAACAGCTTTAGTCTTCAGTTGGTAGGATCTACTTGAGAACAGAGGCTGTTGTGTTTAGCTATGGTCATAGATGTGAGTTTGTCTATGCTCTGAAGAACTTAAATGTAAGTTTTTATGCCTAAGATTAAAAAAACCCCAATGGAGCTGTTGTCCCTCTAGTACAAACAGGACACTTGGGCTCAGAGAAATGCAGTGACAGCTTTAGCTTCCTGCAGTCCATCTGTGGCATACCCTGGCACTGAACCTTTAACCACTGCCTGTCTGCTGAACCACAGGATTATCTCTCGCTTTAGTTGCCTCTGTCAGGCAGCGCTGAACCTTATTCCTGTCTGTGAGACCAGAGAAAATGAAATAACAAATTCTGCTTTTCAAAACATGGCCTTGAACGCAGTATTTGAAAGCTTGTTGTGAACTTCATGAGATGAGAAGGAAGGACTGGTGATTGTTTTTGATGTGGTATTTTTCTCCACTTTATCTCTGCTGCAGGACAGCTGCTTAGCACAAGCTGATTTGCCCCGTACGGCTGTTTTGTACTTCCGAATAACTGTGGCTGAGTGAACAGAGGGAATATACACATCCAGTTCCAAAATCTGCCTGAGAAAATAGATTATATCCCCTGTTTGCCTTGGATTAATGAGGTAGGAAAAACAGATAACAATTAATCCTAAAGCTGTTAATGAAGAGGAAGAGACTACATGTGATACACAGCTGTCATTAGAGGATATTGAAGACTTTAGAATCAAAAGCAGAGAATTGTGGCATTTGTGCAGGTGTTTTGAATGTATAGGCCACATGGGAAATTTTCTAGTCTCCTGTACATTTGTTTTATATAGATAAAATTACTTAATTAGTAGTATTTTTAGTAAAGTCATGGGTTTGAGCTTTTAGTTACGTGTTTTTACACGAGCAGTGCAAGTGTTCTGTTAGTCTGTAAAAACACTCAAGATGAAACTAATTTGTATATGATGGCAAGAAATGATAGTTTATGAATAAATTTTTACCTTTCTTGATTTCACAGGGTGAATGGATTATAGAGAAAAAAAGGATTTCATTTCATTACAGTTTTGCTGTCAGAGAATATTGAAAAAAGATTGTATTTTTTATGAAGAGTGAGAACCCTAACCTAACAGCAGTTTTTAAATTTAACTTAGTATGTGACAAGAAATAATTTCTTCTATTGTTTTCTGTGGGTGGGAAGAAAAACCCTACCAGATTTTCCTTTTTTTTTTTTTTTTTTTTTAATTGAATGTAAACTTACAAAACATGCATCAGGTTGCAGATAGACTTGTTGTAGAGGAAAGAGTAATAGTCTTTTTCTTGATAATACAAATTTCCAAATACATATTTCCATAGTTTGTAATGAATTACAAAGTTTTTAATGGTTTAGCTGTGCTGGAAGAGGAAGTGATGGAAACAGAGAGGATAAATTCTGAGGACTTGGAAGGTCCTTTGACAGTTGGGCAGCTTTGGATGCTGATAGATGCGAATTGTAGGACTTGCAAAGGGGACTTGGAAAAACAAAATACATGAAATTCATGAGACAGTAGCTGGGTAATGGTGGAAGCTGGACTAGACAGAGGGAGATTTGTACATGTGAGACTCAGGACTGGGTTTTATTCTATCAGAAAAAAAGGAAAAAAAAAGAATAAAAGACCCTGAACTAGCAAAATTACTAAACTTGCAAAACAACTTATTTAGAACAGCAAATGAGACACTTTAGCAGTGGGTTCTCTTTTTATTTGGTTGACTCCAGATGGAAAGTAGTAAGTGCTGAAGGAATGGGCAGGAGATCTAATATAGTGGAATAGCATGGAAAATAGATGCTGTGTGAAAACATTGTGAAAGAGTTGTGATGCAGTGGGGTTATCTGTTAACCTAGAAAACATCTCTGAAAGGAACTCTTCATTCAGAAATAGTTTTGACACATGAATCAGCAAATCTCTGTGATATTTTGTGAAATGGGTGTCATGAGAGGTTAGTAAACACTGGAGGGAGTAGAATTGATTTCTAAGCTCTAGCAAGCAGTAAAAATTATCACAATTAATAACATCTAATAATGGGTGCTAGCTTAGTTACTGGCAGTTTTTGTAACAGATAAAATACGAGCCCAGTAACCAGTCTTTATTCCTGCAGTCTTGTCTGACATGGGCTTGCATGGGTAATGTCATGCAAACAATCCCTTTGGATTTAGTGGAATTGTATGTTGATAGCAAGGGCCCAAAGCCCTTGTGCTGAATCCTCTTGCACAGTAACTGAAATAGTTTGAAAATTGAGACATCTGAACTTTTCACAGTAATGGAGATATGAAACCAGAGCAACTTTTTTTTTTTTCTAATTTAGTTGATATACACTGTAAGCATTGTGTGAAACTGCCAAACAAATACCATTTGCCATCCTTAGAGAACTTAAAACTAGGCACAATAGGATATATCACAAATTCCAGTAGGGGTACTTCACGGAATAATTTTAAGTATTTAGAAGTGTTTCTAGTGTCAATTGGTAGATTTCTGTTTTTCATTTCTCTAAGGAAGTTATAAGTTTGCTGAAGCTGAAGAAAATCTTCAACATTAAGACTGTAAATGACCGTAAAAGGCTTTTGACTTTACAGAAATTCAAAATTCTTTTCTTGGAAAACTGCAGGTATTTTTGGCAGATTCTAAACAGTTCTGTTGATTGGTCTTGCTCACAGCAAAATAAAATTCTAGAAGTGAAGGTTTCGTTTCTTTTCCATATTTCAAAGTCATCCATGAGGAGAACTGCTGCAAAGTGTTCTTGTCAAGGTTGTTGCAATGAGAAAAATTCTGAGTTTAAATAAGTATTTTGAATATTTTTAAGTTTGTCATTGTCAGAGCAGCTTTTTCTGGCGAAACCAGGATGTTGTTACTGTGATGAGCTATGGCTACATTTTTTTTCTCCTCAAAGAAGGCAAACAGACTCTTTGTTTTCATTATTCTTAGATATTGTCCCCTAAGTATATTTACAGTGTCGCTCACAAGCATGAAATTATTTGCTTATCCATAAAAGGAAACATGGGCATATGGTAGTTTTTTTCTGTTTGCTTCTTATCTTTCTAAATTCAGTTGCTACATGGATATTTTCCTGAGTCTGTCAAAATGGGATTTCTTCGATCTTTGCTTTGCCCCTTTCCTACCACGCTAGTTTTATGTTTTGGTTATTATTCGATTATATAGCAGATGTAGCTTTAACTGAGTTGTTTCTCAGCCATGTTTTTTCTTGGGCTGTGGGGCCTTAAGGAGTGGAGCACAAACACTGATTTGCTGCTTTGATCTTACATCACTGTCTGACACAGTGAATGTCCCATGCTCTTGACACTGGTTGGATCGAGGGTAGAGGTTGCAGATAGATGAAGAAATGTATCACATGGGCTGTTCTGTGTCAGAGGCCTTGTGGTTCTTTCACCAGGCAGAGGAGAAGAAATACTGCATCTGAACTCAACTTTGACAAGCTTACAGCTGCTAGAAAAAGTGGTTATCCCATATTTAGTGGTTACCATGCATCCTTAGATGTTCTGAGAAATATACTTAATTGTTAAGAAGAAAGTTCTTCTAAGAATAGCTACACTCACTACAAGAGTTTAGCTTGCTTTTTCTTTATACAAAGCTAAAACTGAGAATTTTTTAGTCCTTACTCGCTAAATGGTGGCTCTCTGTTAACCTTTCACTCTCTTCAAACAAGTTAATGGCATGTATTTTGCTTTTGCCTTTCAGAT